GGAATGGATATGGAGGCCAGAAGGACTGGAAAGGGGGGGGGGGGGGGGGGGGGGGGGGGGGAAGAAATAGACACAACCTTCAACCATAGAAATGAAACATTGGCCTCGCAGGGGCTATATCTATCTCTATCAGAGCCACAGATCTTCACAACTTCTCATTCCCAAGGGAGTTTGACACTCAACATTTTCGACGACGTTCATTTTTCTCTTCAAAATTCAAATAGCAAAGAATATCTATTATCTACTGTATGCTGTGTTGTGCTCACTATCTCTCAATGACAATTCACTATTCATATTGCCTAACTGCCCCTATCCAACTCTCTCTCTCTCTCTCTCTCTCTCTCTCTCTCTCTCTCTCTCTCTCCACAGACACACACACACACACACACACACACACACCCTTCTCTATTCCCCTGCTTGCCATCGATGTTCTTCCTTGCAANGTGAAACGGTGAATCTCAGAGAGAGAAAAAAGCCGGTAGCAATTACTTTTTTTTTTTTTTTTTTTTTTAATATTAGAAAAGGCAGGGGGAAACTTCGAAAAGGCAGGGGGTAATCTAGAAAAGGAAGCCATGCGTGCAGCGGTTTTGTGTACAGCAGTGAAACGGTGAATCTGAGAGAGAGAAAAAAGCTGGTAGCAGGTGAATCTGAGAGAGAGAAAAAAGCTGGTAGCAATTACTTTTTTTTTTTTTTTTAATTAGTAAAGAAAAAATTTAAGAAATCCCTCTCAAAGTAGGGAGATATCCCGGGCTCCCGGGTCCCGACGTCACACCCGGTTTGGCGACCAGGTGACCTGCCGGGCATGACCCCCGGGCATGGGCCCGGGCAGCCCCAGCACAAAAACAAAAAAAAAAAAAACTGAAAAAATAAATGTTGTGTAGAATTGCCATACAATTATACAAACAACTTTTGGCTGAGGGTCACCTCAGAATTCCTCTTCTTTTTTTTTTCACACACACACACACACACACACACACACATGAAGATAAAAAAGAAAATAACCAAATCACACTAAGGCACCCCCCTTTAAACCCCTTTAGCGGAAGTTTAGCCCCTTTAAAATTCATTTATACTTCCATCCCCCCCCCCACCTTGACAGCCAACTCGCAAAAAAAGAAATGAGCCTGGATTCGGGGATCCTCTGGGAGAGAGCCTGTCTCTTATACACATCTAGATGTGTATAAGAGACAGGAGCATACCCTGCTTCGCAGGTGGATGGAATAGAAGTCAACAGAAGTCAAAATTCAACGAATTCAAAAGTCAACAGAAGTCGAAAGTCAACAGAAGTCAAAATTCAACAGAAGTCAAAATTCAACAGAAGTCAAAACTCAACAGAAGTCAAAACTCAACAGAAGTCGAAACTCAACAGAAGTCAACAGTCAACAGTGAACAGAAGTCAAAAGTCAACAGAAGTCAAAAGTCAACAGAAGTCAAAATTCAACAGAAGTCAAAATTCAACAGAAGTCAAAACTCAACAGAAGTCGAAACTCAACAGAAGTCAA